CTTCGGCTCGGCTGGTAATTGCACTGGCGGCTGAGGGTCCTTTATTTTACTTCCCGTGGTTAGAACGCGATTTTCCGTCTCGGCGTAGGCGCAATGTCAGAGTTCCCTCCCGCGAAGCGGGAGGGAAATGTAACTCTGCGCCCGTCGGGACGGAAAATACAATAGTATATTTCTCACCTAGGGAGGTAAAATAAAGGAGCCGTGCCCACGTGCAGAATTACCACCCGAGCTGAAGGCGAGGGTGAGAACGTTACTTTTTGTTACGGCGTAGGCGCAAAGTCAGATTTCCCTCCCGCAAAGCGAAGCGGGAGGGAAATGTGTGTACTTTGTTCCAGCCGTGGTGAAAACTTTTCTTTGCAGGCGTGTTAAAAAATACCATGTGCACCCCGGGTGGGCAAACATGACTTTCCGCCCTTGATGCACAATATACTATTTCACCTGCTTTTCCCTATACCATAGCTATATTCTTACCCCAAACCTGATGTTTTTGCCGAACCCATACCCTTGAGAATACATATGAGTAAAAGCCCGAGAACTGAAACTGTGTAAAACAGTCGTAAGTTAACAATAGACACTCTGCTGCCTCGTTGTATGATTTACGTTAATAAAAACATTTAAAAGTTAAAAAAAATTAAGTAATTGAAAAAGTGCAATTTTCCGAGCAAAACTCATGGTTTTGGAATCGTAACAAATTTGTTCATATTCAGGCAAAAATACGGTTTTTGAAAGTCTGAATGATTTTCGTTATCCTTTTATCTTCTCATTATTCTATTCGAGCAGTTGATGAGATAAGAGTTGTTGCGCCTACGCGATCAAGTTACAAACTCGAAGTTTAAGGGGGGACCCTGGTGAAATTTGAAAGTCTTCGGGTGATGAAAATAACTATCGATCGACTTTTGATATATCATGGAGTACCTAGAAAACTAAGAAAAATGTCGTACCCAACCCATGTTGGGTACGGCATCGGTTCAAAACCAGCCCAAAAATCGGCTTGAATCAAACCGAAAAATCGACTTGAACCAAATCGCCATCTCCTACCTGGAACAGGCAGAATTTCGGCTTGATTCAAACCGATGTCGACTTAAATCAATACTTTTTTTGGGTGCATTGAGAAAGAAAAAACATTTGTCAAAAAACTTCGTACATGTCCGGAAGAGGAGGAGCAAGTTCACAACAAGAAAGTGATTTCTCGAACCAAGTCTAGTGGTTTTTGCATTAGAATATTTTGGATTTGAGACGAAAAAACTATTAAATGAATTGATTCAACTAGAGTCGGTTTGAGAAATCACTTTATTATCATTAAAAAATTATCCTCATCTTTGGGACAAGGACTAAATCTCTTAACGAAAGTTTTTGTTTCTCCAGTGTAAGTCATTTTTTCGTTGTTAATTTTCAAGTCATGAGTTTCTTGATACGAATGAAGACGTACTCCTGAAAAAACTTTCTTACTCCTCAGGGTAAATTCAGGGGAATGCGGTCATTCTCACGGGCATGGATGAAATCTAGGAATAAAATCTGGATTTACGTAGCCGAAAGGTTGCTTGAATGATCAAATCTGTTCGAAACGTCAATCAAATCGTAAGACCTAATGGAATTAATTGAGAAGTTTTGCGTGAAATCGAACTCATTCTGTTCGAATATGGCTCAAACTTATTGCTCTAGATCAAAGCCTACTTCGTCCAAATAGCTTCGGATCCAAATCACGAATTTATTCAATCATCCAAACAGCCTTCAACTATTTCAATCAAGAATTCTCCTCTGACTGGAATGCTCAGTGCATTCCAAACACTCAGTATCTGTTTGATTTTGTTCGAGATCTCATTGTTTGTTCAGGTAGGCGAAAAAAAGCCCCGGAAGGAAGGGATCACGCACCGATCACGTGCTAAAACCCATGCGATTTGTGCTTTTTTCCCGCAGGCTAGAATCATCTCTCCATTAATCATGCTCATAAAAAAAGGTGTTGAGTAGCTGAGTGTGACGAAGAAAAATAATTATACTCATCATTGATAATTTTTTATATGAATTCCGAATTCGGTGAATTCAGGAAATTAATCCATCAAATTCATATTTCAATTATTGTTTTAAACAATAGTTTCTCATCTGCGTAGGGTGTTTCGATCAGTGGCAACCTTGTACGTTCGGAAATATTTCGCTCCCCACGGCATGGCCAACGTTTAACGAACGCAATGCTGCCACTTTCACAAAACCCGCTATTTCGGGGCACCCAGAAACATAAATTATTTCTTGTCATTTCGGTCGAAAAAATTCTAGCTCATATGATTGAAGCCCACGCCTTTCGCTCGGGCTGCAAACTCATATTCGGTAGAAAAGTTGTTATTTGACAAGCCTAATGACGAAGTGTACTATATTATACAAGATTGACAATAATTTTTTTAATGGGCATAGAATTTTAATTTTTTCTGGTTTTTCAAAATTTTTTTCTTGATTTTAATGCAATCTAATCTGATCTAAAAAATTAATAGAAAATCTTAGCGAATACGTTAGAAAATTCTATTGAAATTCTCTAGAAATTCTATGGGGATTCTATTAAAATTATAGGAAATTCTCGTCAAAATTATCTTTGTTTTTTGCGCAGATTCTATTAGATATTTGATAGGGAAAAGTCAATAGATTTCGATTTTTCGGTTTTAATTTTTCTCTTGTGACTTTTACTATTAAAATAATTGGGCACGGATTTTCTACGTTTTTTCCGTTATATTTTGTTTTGTTTTGCATTGCAGGATTCGAGTGAAAAAAATGTAGGAAATTCATGCCCAAGTACTTTTACAGAAAAAATTTCAAGAGAATATTCATGCAGAAAAATCGCAATTGACTTTTTCACAATTCCCTACAATTTGAATAGAATCCTAATCGAATTTTCTAGCGAATTCACTAAGGTTTTGTATTAAATTTTTTCATGCGTGTTAAAAAGTTCATCTTTCCATAGGAATGTATTATACTATTCGAAATTCGAGTTTCATTCATACTACTTTAAAGATGAAATCGATGATCATCCCTCTCTTTTGCACGCAGAAATAAGTGGAGAAAAATTACCATACAATCAAGTAATCGTGGAACTGTATATGAAAAAGTACTGTAATCGATTTACAGTACTTTTTCCCCTTAAATAGAAGAAAAAGTGCGAGATTAATCGTGAATTTTACTCTGTTGGGTCAGTAAAATTTACTAAACGTGAGGGTGATTTGTACTGAAACTGTAAAATTTACCGTATATCCCATCAAAACTTATCCCAGTGACCGTGAATAATTGCTCTAATTTTTCGTATAATTTTTCTGTAACGAAGAATGATTTTTACCGAATCCGTTTGCTGAAAATTCACTTCCGCCCGTGCCCATGACTTTCAGACGGGTACAAAACAAACAATGGTGCGGAAAATTTTACTCAACAGGATGATAGTTTTTGCATCCATAGATATATTGTTTTACCGAGAAAATCGTAAGATTTCGAAAATCGTAAAAACCAGTATTTTTTCACTGAATTACATCTCGCTCCACGATTACCATTTGTATAGTATAATTTGTCATGATTTTTTAGGCAATTTTTATCCAACTTTTCTCTCCGTGCGTGATTGACTATAGCGAGGAGCTAAGTTTTATGTGATATTAATTTATTTAGAATTCTTAGTATCAGAATTATTCATATTCGTGACCGAGGGGTTTTATTGCAAATATAATACTTATCCCTTATCGTTGCTGTGCACTAAAGCTTGAGGGGAATATCCGATGAATTTTGAAGGTCGAGGAGTATTCGAAGGATTATTGCTTCCAGTCTGGTCTCGGTCGACCAGATTGCAGTATTCGGGGTTATATGACACATGTACCACCAAATGTACTCATATTCGTCAAACCAATAGAAAAGAATTGACAGGCTACAGGTAAATTACCGGTCTGATAATTTCCCTGTCGCCGGAGAAATTATCAGTGTGAAACGTGAGATATGACCCCGAATACTGCAGTCTAATTAGTCGAGATCAGATTGGAGGAAATAATCAAGAGAATAATCTATACAGAAAAATCGAAGTCTATTGAAGTTTCTATCAAATATCTATTTACGAGTTGCATCACAAATTGCACAATTTTCAATAGAATTAGCGCGAAAAAAATAAATAGAAGTTTTCAATAGAATGTTAATAGATCTACACTGCTAAAAAATTTTGTCTGAAATTTTACCCTTTTCGGAAACTTTTATCGAATTTAATTACCACTGAAATTTCAAGGAATTTGGTCGGTGAAAATTCAGAATTTCGTGGGAAAATCAAAGAGTACTGTCAATTTCAGTTCTATTTTTCCCTGAAAATGAATAGAAAACCACAAAATTCCGGTAAATATATTCTTGAATTTTCAGGACAGTGGCACTAAATGCGATTTAGAGAAAAAATCATGAAATTTCAGATTTACCTGAAAATTCAATATAATTTCACACTGAATATTCATATTAGATTGGAAATGCAAATAAATTGAGGAATTCTTGTCTTCATGCTACTTAAAACTCTGGAATTTTACTGAATTTTCAGAGAAACTTGAAATTTCATGATTTTTTCCCTAAATTGCATTCAGTGTCACTGTTCCGCCCATGCGTTAGTGGGAAGGTACACTAATTTTCGAGAGATTTTTTTCTCCGTGTAGTTTATGTGCTACCTTAAGATTATCTCCCCACCTGACAACCAGAGGTTTAATATCTCCGAGCTTACGAAGCAATCGGTTTATCATTCATACCCACAAGATATAGCACTAATTGTGATTGAATACTTCTAAATCTGGTGAAGATGCATTACTGAATCAGACAGGTCATAAAATTATAAGAAATAGAGTAGCGCAAGACGTCTATCGCGCCTCGCCTAGCATCATCGATCCGTATCCGGGGCTTTGCAGTAAGTGAGCGTTAAAGCGCGTGAACCGTCTCCAACATTGCTTTCATCATTCCCCCGAGCACAAGACCACCAGTAACGCAAAGACTATAAAGATAAACAATTGATTTACCTCTGTTCTCGTTCTGGGGAAGGGTGAGCGCCAAGATGATCATCAGGTAAAAGACCAAAAGCCGGTAAATGTTCGTTGCCATCTGAAATGAAAAAAAATGTGTTTTTCATTTTCAAAATTCCTTTTTTCCAAATTTTCGGGAGAGCGACAGTGAATGGAGGAAAAAATCATGAAATTTTCCGTTTCCCTGGAAATTTAATGGAATGAAAATTTCTGGGCGGCAAGAAAACGAGAATTCCGCAACTTACTTGAATTTTCTACAAACAACAAAACATTTAAATCATAATTTACTACCAAATTTCACAGAATTTTCAATTAATTGAAAATTGAAGAATGCATGAATCTTAATCTCATTGATTTTCGCGAATTACCATGAAATAATTGAACTGAAAAAGACAATTTCCATGGATTATTTCATCAAATTGTGAATTTGATGAAATTAATTTAATGACGAATTTCATGGAATGTGTCTTAAAAATGTCGTTGGATGAAAAATTCCAAGAAGTGTACCAGGAATTTCAGCCAAAAATTTCTAACAGTGAATAGACAGATTACAGCGTGTTGGTGTAGAATGTTATTTACGCTAATCAGATTTATGGACTTGAGATTAACGGATGGTCCATCGTCAAGAGTTGTTCAGTGAAGATGTATCTTACGTTTGGCTTTATCGCATGTTTCACGCAGGCACTTGTTAGTTTCCCAAGGCCCGGGTGAGCCTCAAGGTATACCGTTATCCAACCGAGTATGGCGCTCCAACGAGCGCCTATGACATATATAGGATGTTAAAGAGACAGCTATCATTGTAGCCAATACTACCTAGTCAATGATATATGAAAAGAGAAACTAGTGACGATTTGTTTTGGTTGTTAAACAAGTATTGAGTTTCATTCGGATACGTGATCGATTGGATTTGTTGAAGGGATTAACGACCGTGAGAGGAAACTATATTGCCCGCTAACCCAGTTACAAATCCTTTTCTATTTTATCAACACGTCATTGTCGTGACAATCATTGTCGTAGTTTTGGGTCATTTGTGATTCATTGCATTTCATCGTGAATTCAGACAAATTCATTTACTCGCTTGTTTTTCCATTAATTTTTATGCCTCTGGATTTTATGTGCTTCGCTTTCCATCCCTCTGATTATACAATTTTCTCGCTGGTTAATGTAGGCGTCAGCAAATTATAATATCTGTAATAACAGGGGTTTTACTGGACGAACGCTCATCTCTCATTGCGGAGAAAGCGTCGTTCCTGATTCTGTTTGGTTTACCCATACCGCCTTCTTGTTGGGACCGGACCGAGAGTCGCAATCTGGGTGACCCGATTGCCTCCACCACAACAATCTCATGATGAATACATACAGAGGGAATACCAGAACTCAATTCTCTTATTCACTCGTTTCTCAGGATTTTTTTTTGGTTCTTGTAGTGTTTTCTTTTGGTTTTTAAAAATCTCCTTTTTAATTTTTTATTTTCGTGAATGTCTTTCATTTCTTGAAGCTGTGTTGTGGGAGAAGAGAAATGTCTCTTGTGTACTGCATTTTTTTTTAATGCGGTGAATACACACTCAGACACAAGTGGTACTTCTACGCGACATGAATGCAAATTGATGCGTGAGCTCGATTAGTAGGTTGCCCGCAAATTGCCATGAATATATTTCTGGGGCTCACGTTTTTTTTTGTCGTTCCTCGTGATGGCTTGAAGTTGACTCATTTTTCATTTCGCTAGCCGGGTGATTCGGCGGGAAAAGGCAGGGCTGATTTTTTGCTTGGTCACTTGTTTATTTTCTACTTTCCATTTTCCATCGGCTATTCACTTTCTAAGTTGAACAATTGCCGTTAGATATTATTGCCGGGGATCTTGATTGTCTCGAGTTCAGGTGCACAGTTGGGTTTCGCGTCGACATTGTTTTTTACTTTGTGTATGATTTAATGGTGACGATTCTCGGCAAGAACACGCGCGTTTGATTTTACGGGTTTTCTCCGGTTACATTTCTTTTTGTTTCAATGTCATCATGATATCGTTGCCGTATAGCTAAACGGGCGTAAGCGGTGTGTTGTGTGATATTTACATTAGAAATCAAAATCACCTTAAGAATTTAAGTTCTTAGCATCAGGATGATTTACAGGGGATCACCCTTGAATAATCATGTAGAGGGTTGGTCTTCCAAAATTCTGTTTTTTCATCTTAATTCTTGTAAAAAATATAATAAATTGCAATAATTTGAGTGAATGGAAAAAAAAATTACTTAGTTTATTTGAATGGAGTTAATGAATGTTCTACTCGAGTACACGGTTATTGCACGGAGAAAAAAACGCACACGAAAAACTTTTATCGAGTAACTTAGCGGATTCGCTGAAAAATTCTATTCAATTTCTATTAAACTTGCATTAAAAAGGCTATTAATTTTTGCCGATTCCGTTTTTTTCCAATGGAATTATTTTATGGAATAGTATATTTTGATACAAGTACGACGGGGTTTTCACGAGTGTGAAGTTGGAGGCCCCAGGCGAAGCTGAGGACTGCCGATTACACGAGCTGGAAAATCCCCTGTCGAACTATATTTTTTTCAGTGACGAGACCGAACGCGCGCTACTGCACACTGTAATTGTAACAATCATAATTGAAAATCTCAAAATTGAATGAATCCTAAATTAAAATTAGCCGCCTAAGACGACTGTGAACCAATGAGGAATAAGCGTGACAAACTTGCGAGATATCGATAGTTATCGACTTCAAGTGCATGTTCTTTCTAGAACAGGATCACGAGAACGGACGCGCGCTGCAGCGCGTTGTAATTGTAACAATCATAATTGAAAATCTCAAAATTAAATTGAATTCTGAATTAAAATTAGCCGCCTAAGACGACTGTGAACCCATGCGGAATAAGCGTGACAGACTTGCGAGATATCGATAGTTATCGACTTTAAGTGTATGTGTTTTTCAGAACAGGCACTTTTCGGTACGAGGTGATCGTAGCAACAGTGAAAAAATAGAAATTTTTTGTTATTCCGGCCGGATTGTAGTCACATGAATCAAAATAGTATAGTATTGTGCACCAAGGGAAGAAAACATGGCATTCTAACCCGCCTGTTGATCGTCTCCCGAGACGAAGCAGAGGATAAACACTCGAGTTAGAATGCCCTGTTATTCTTCCTCGGTGCACACGATATTTTCCGTCATAACTGCACGATTAAGTTCGATTTTTCTCCGTAAATGAAAGGGAGGAATGTGGGTTATGTCATTCCGAGGATCTTCTAAAACAGTAGAAATCCGAGGAATAAAATAAGCCACTTTCTTCCTGTCATTTGGGGAGGAAAATCGAACTTTCCGTAGGGATATGATGGAAAATACTCTTCTGGCCGAGTGGCGAACTAGTATATTTCTAACCTAGGGAGGGAAAATAAAGGATCCTCAGCCGCCAGTGCAATTACCAGCCGAGCCGAAGGCGAGGTTGGTAAGCACGCGGCTGAGGGTCCTTTATTTTACTTCCCGTGGTTAGAACGCGATTTTCCGTCTCGGCGTAGGCGCAAATAAGTCAGAGTTCCCTCCCGCTTCGCGGGAGGGAAATGTAACTTTGCGCCCGCCGGGACGGAAAAAATGTTATGTCGGTAGAGCTGAAAACCGCGATCTTACTGAACGAAGTGAGGTTAGAATCGCGGTTTTTCGGGCCGAGTGACATAAAATATTCTATAGAGAAAATCAATAGAATTAGATTTTTCTATACAATTTGCTCCATTGCGATATTCTCTATGGAAATTCCTAGGCTCAAATTATACAATTTTTGTTTGTTTTTTTTTTTAATGCGGGGAGGAGGAAGATTAAAAGATTAAGATTAAAAAATTATGTTGAGGAATTTCTACAGAAAACGTCTCAGTATATTATTTTTGGTTCCATATGTATATCCTCTCGGGTTTTTACATTTTATTCCCTTCTCTATCAGCGTTACCATGGGCCGACTTACTTTATCCCCAACTGCACCCATTCAGGATTGGACTGACAGGGAAACCATGGAAAATCTCAGTCGTGCAGCCGGCCAATAATGCCACACGGAGAGAAATTTTTGATAAAAATTATCCTACCGTTCTATAAAAGTGTATCATGAGTCATCGTTTCCTCATTTCTATCTCGAAATTTAGTAAAAATTAATATATGATGATCAAATTTTACTTTACGTTGGAGAAATTTTATTCTGATAACAATAAAAATTAATATGCCGGCAGAGTAAAAATTACTGTACCGGTAGGGTACAATTTACCAATCGTTCTAGAATTTTCGTTGTTATCTACATAAAAATTATTGGACTGGAAGGGTAAAATTCATTATGCGTCAGTATAAAATTTCTCAAACGTAGAATAAAATTTGATCATCATATATTAATTTTTACTAAATTTCGGGATAGAAATGAGGAAACGATGACTCATGATACACTTTTATAGAACGGTAGGATAATTTTTATCAAAAATTTCTCTCCATGCAGGATTCCACTCTGTCCATTGGTCACACTGACTCAATGGGCACAGTCAGCCCATTGCCCATTGAGTCAGTGTTCTCTACATTCGTGCCTAGCGACTGTAGTCCCACGCGGTTAGGTATGCCTAAGCGGACACCCAACCAAGTATTGGGCAGACTAAACGCTGCTTAGTTTGGATGACCGCCGGAGCCACACACTCCCCGCGTGACCACTACCGTCACTTATAAAACCTCTCAATAGAAAGAGTTGTATAGAAAGAGTTAGTCCTATACATTTTCTCTATAGAATAGTTTCTATTAGACATTTTAAAAAAGTGCAGTAAAGCTGGGGAATTTTGCAATAGAATCGGCGAAAACTTAATGGAAATTTTAATAGAAGCCAATAGAAATTCTACATGGAGAGAAAATTATACAGTCACAAAAAAATTGCGATGTGGCATCCGAATTTTTAAGAGACACATACGGAAAAGTAGCGTAAGATCTTCAAAAATTGAATCACGGAAAAAATAGACTAGAGGAAATTTTTAAGTTCGATGGGTTTTAACCTTATCGCACTCTGTTTTTTCCGCCTGCCTCAAAAATTAGAGTGCGACATTCACATTTTCGGGTGGACATTGATTTTTGAACGGAATCGCACGGGATTTTGATGTATTTTTCCCTCCGTGTATTGCCTCCTATTTTGTAGTAATTCGGTAGGTTTTTCTATGGAATTTTGTCGTCTATAGGAAAAATCTCAGTATTAGTACCGTGAAATGAGTTCATATTGACAAACCTGAAAAAAGAAGGTGCCAGCACCAGAACACTTAAAAATTCTCCACTGATATCTGCGGTAAGAGTTTTGGAAATTGCTTACAAATAACATTTTCGCTCAGATTTCAAGGAATTTTTTCATTGAAAATTAATAATTTCTTTAAAAAATTCGTGGAATTTTTGCAAATTTTAAAACTGTAAATTTTAATTTACTTATTCCGGGAAAATGAATGAAAAATCAGGACAATTCAGAGAAATCTCTCCTTGAATTCCAGATTCCGCTGAATTTTCAGAGAATTTCTTGAAAATTCCTGGAATACGGAGAATTTTGAAGGAATTCCCGCAAAATTCAAAGGAATTTGGCAGTGAATATTTATTTTCACTTAAAAATTCATCTAAATTGTAGAATTGCCGTCTTCTTACTGCTAAAAAAATGGGACTTTACTGGAATTTTCGAAGAAATCTCAAATTC